GACACCAACCCTACCCTCAGCAGAAAATGACAAAGAAGAATTTTGCCATAAACTACAGACAGTACTGAATCATGTTCCAAAACGCGACATCCACATTAGTACTAGGGACTGGAATGCACGAACCGGTCCTAGGAACGATCAAACCCGTCACATACTCGAGAGATACTTCCTTAGAGAGCGCTGTGATAATGAAGACCGCTTGCTCAGCCTCGCTGATCTTACCCGGCTGTGCGTAACCAATCTTTTGCTTCCAGCATCCCAGAAAGCGTCTTCTGACCTGGTACAACAACGATGGTTGTACAGCAAGCCAGATAGATTCAATCTTAATCCGATCCAAGTAGATGTCCTCCATCGATGACTGTCGAGCGTGCAGAGGGGCTGAAACAGGCAATAAAGGTGGTTCAAATCACATACTCCAGTGCCAAATGCAGAATCCGCTTGACAAAGCGCCGAAAGACCCTTCCACCAAAGCGTATCAACACTGCACCAGTAGAAAATCCTGATTGCCGCCGGTCTCTAGAGGCAGCAATAGAAGCAGCAAAGTCTACCAGTGTACCACGACTCGTAATTGCAGAACAGGAATCAACAGACACTCGCTGGTCTAGGCTAAAATCGTCAGTTAAACGCGCAGCCTTATCTACCCTTGGCTCTACCTCTAAGGCTGTGAAGGACTGAACCGCTGAAGATGCTATCCGCCTGTCCGCTAAAACAAGAGAACTTCGGCCAACGAATTCCCCAGACTACCGTCGTTTGAGAGGTGAGGCAACCCATTCAACACGGAATGGTCGCTACCGCTTCTGGTCTGATATCACAGGCAAGATGGAAATTGCATCAACTTCTGGCAATTTGGATCATTTCTTTTGTCTCGTTCGTTTAGTTTTCTGCAAGCCAATTCACCACAGCCGATAGTGCGCAATTCGGAAGGCCAAATCATCCCCGCTACGGTAGGAAAACTTTTCAGATGAGTAGAAGAAGTATTTTAGCGACCTCCTAAATCGTCCACTACACACCACCGCATCCATTTCAGCATTTAACCCGCCAGCAAATGACGCAGATCACTCACCGCCATCTCCCATGCAGACAACACACACAGTTCGTTACCCGAAGCCGAAGAAAGCTCCGGGAGCGGACAAGATTCCAGCGGAAATCTACAAATCTTCTCTATCAGCTCTTCTGTTCGATGTGGGAGACTGGCATCTATCCTTCCCCGTAGTGTACCTCAGTATTGCAAGGAATTTCCCAAGAAAGGTGACCGAACTGCATGCGGTAATTATCGCGGAATTTGCATAATCGACATGGCGGCCAAAACCTTCACACGAATCTTGCTTTCCTGCTTTGCCAATGAGAGGATTCTGCGAACTCGTGATAAACAAGGCGGCTTTCGTTCAGGCAGAGGCTGCACTGGCCAAATCTTTACGTCCAGTAACCGAACCCTGATACCAGTTCCAGCAGTCCAAGTTTGCGTGCTTCGTTGATTTTCGAATTGTCTTTGACTCAGTTGACTGCAAAGCAGTCTGGAGAATTCTACTTGCCGATGGCGTGCCGGTTAAACTCGTTATCTTGATGAGGTCATACTATATTTGCACAAAGGCCCGGATTCGGATCGATAAAAAAACAGAGGAATTCAACCTCAATATTGGAGTCCAGCAAGGTTGCCCAATTTTACCAGTGCTATTCAACTTCGCACACGACTGGGTTATGCATCATGCTTTTGTATGCTAGCGTGGTGTTCAAGTTAGCCCTGACTTCTGGCTGTCAGGTCTAAAATGCGCTGACGATATCGTTATCCTTGCGGAAGATGCTACGTCACTACAGTCACTACTAAATGGTGTCCATTAATCAGCCTATAGTATCCGCCTCGAAATTAACCAGCAAGAGGGAATACCTCTCAATGTTAGCCAGCCAGTCCGTCCCTTCGCTCTCCTTACGTTGACAACTCATCGAATCTGGTCCTGAGTTCAAGTAACTTGGATCCACTATACTCCCCAATGGTCAGGCTTCATCAAAAATCCGGAGTCGTATTGACAGCGCTAGAACAGCCTTCTTACAAGTAAAAAACACATTATAGCGAAGGACGGAATTTAGTCTGAGAAAGAAGATTCGAGTATTCTCAGAAACCATTCGTCCCATTTTACACTATGGTGACGAAACATGGCCGCTGCGATCCGAAGACACCCATGAACTGGAAGTTTTTTAGCATTGGTGTCTAACGCTTATCTTGAAAACGCAGTGACATGAGGGCATCACTAATGACGAACTCCGTAAGTGTTGTTACATTCTGACGAAGCTCACAACGCTCATCCAACGCTGCAGACATCAGTGGTTCGGTCATCTCCTCCACAGACCAGAGAGAGACTTCACTAGCGCGTTGGTTTCACCCTCGCCTTGTCAAGGCTGATGTCATCGCCGTGATGGACAATTAAAAACTTGGTTCACTGCAGTGAAATCGGATGTCGATTTTCTTTACTCCATGTTGTGCATGATGCTCGTCACTGGAGGAGTCATTGGATCAGTATCTGCGTGGAGCTTGCAACCGATGGTCGGGCTTGGGCAGCTGCAATTCGCGATATTCATGAAGCCGGCTCATCCTGTCGCAGTTGTTAGCCGCAGGAAGTTAAGAGAGTTTTATTAAGTGGAAGCTTGGTTAACCATCGGATCAGGATTTGGCTTGGTGGAAAGTGGAACGTTCACGAGCTTGGTAGAATTCGCACTAATTTGGCAAGTGCTATGACGGTGGCTGCTAAACGAGTTGCAGTGATCGAACTGTGGATATCGCGAAGAGTAAAGTCGTTCGGCCTAAGTAATATGTTGTGGGGATTTTTCCCTTTTGATGATTGTTGGTACCAAAAACACAAACATTATTCATGTAAACAACACATTCTTTGATGTAGGATAAAGTGAGTTTCTGCCAGGCGACTGGTGCGTTGTTTAGGCTAATAGCCAAACTTCGTACTGGTACAACTCGTCTCGTGGGAGCAATTCAGTCAACTTGCGACAACTGGGACTCAGTTGCATGCAGCAGTAGGCATTATGAATGTCTAGTTTCTAGAATAGCCTATCGCTGGTTCGTCACGAAATCTGCTAATGAGTTGAAGGAAGTGACAATTCATCCAAAATTATGTGCATGTTAAGTATTCACAAACTTGTGCACACAGGTATATATTCGACTTTATATTGAAGTGAGTTAAGAGCATGAAACAACTCAGAGCCTCGCGTCGATTCGATCAAGTTGTTTTGGCTATCCGTTTCAAAGCTTTCAACAGGGTCTCACGTTTTGCGAAAGGTATGGGGGTGGGTTGCAAAGTACTGAATTGCCAGTTATCTGCCTTGAAACCAATGCGATGGAACCTTTTTGGATCTTTCCGAATATCCCAAGGTAAATCTTTTGCGTAGCTACAATGAAGAGATTCTGGCTGGCGTTGACACTTTTCAGTCGGTGGAATTGGGCGACATCATAGCGTTCTGTCCGAGAGGGGGTTTATTGTCGGCCTTATAAACTGCAAACATTCTGCTACCACAAAGAAATACGGAAACAGTAACGAAGCCTAGAAGTTGTACAGTGTCATCTAAGAAGCTGCTGAACTTGTACTCAAAATGATGCACAGATAGACACTAGAAAATCTGCTTGTAAATACTGCGTGGATCCACTGTCCTGGACGACGCAGAAACTAGTTCCATAGCTAAACGAATGTGTTTGCCATGTAGTTCAAAAAATGTGCAAACATCTGGGAAGTGCATGTTAAGCTCCCTATTAGAACAAGGGATAAATGTCTACCAACACAAATCTTAGAGCTTTTCTGTTCAACATTGGCCACTTTATCTTCTGATCCGATCATACACTGTTCCCGCATACAAATCTGGTGAAACAAATATGTTTAGGGTAGATCCTCACTAATGGCTAGTGGTATTAGATGAATAAGACCTCTGATATCATGGTTAACTTGTTTTCTGTTACAGCCACTATTGTTTGGAAATGCCCTAAGCCCGCTGTTAGGAACGGGCTATTACTAGAAGTGTCGTATCGTTTGTATGAACTGGGAGTTTACCCGTACTGTGCATTCCTACAGCCTTCCTTGGCTTGGCATTTACACGCTAATTATCCAATTCTTTTAAGCACTTAATTGCTCACCCATTTTTAATCACTTACAAATTTGTTTCCGTATTTTCTTTCTTGCTTACCTCCTTAGTTTTAAGTAGTAGGGGAATTTATTAAGTTTCTGTGTAAATTCATCGCAGTTAGCCACAGACAGACAGCCACCACATATCCAGGATAGCGCTAGACAACCGTTTCGTCCTAGTGGGACTAGTCAGTAGCGCCCACCCGAAGAATACTGCCAGATTCGAACCCACGACATTACTCTTGCGAGTCAGCGACTTTTGTTACTGAGCCATGGGCGACGGCAGCGGACCGTCATGACTGACACCTAACTGCGATATGGCAGGGGCCATCCTACACTGTCTTGCATGTTATGATCTGCAGAGGACAGTGCTGGTCCCCAAAGCAACGACTTCATTGCAAGCCGCCCCCAATCGAGGCGGCGAGTATGCTGCTAAGGCGACGACTGATTATTATTAAGTAGTAGAGGATTTATTAGGTTTTTGTGTAGATTCGTCGCAGTTAGTCACAGACAGACAGCCACCACACATCCAGGAAAGCGTTAGACGGCCGTTTCGTCCCAGTAGGACTCGTCAGTAGCGCGCACCCGCCGAATCCTGCCGGATGCCCTTAGTTATTTATCTACCGTTTGGAAAGCTGTAACTCTGTTTGCATAATTTCCTATTGAAATATATACACCTTTCAGATTTATTTAAATTTGTCACTTCTATACACAAAACAGCACTTTTATACGGGAAATACAATGCGCTTTTACAAGCTAAAATGTGTATATAGTAACTCTACTTATAGCCTAGAAAAGCGATGGGAGATGTTTCATAATTATGTTCAATTTTGCACCTTGTATGGCATGACCAAAATACAACCGATCTGTTCAACCATTTAGGCCAGAGCCGAAGTACATCGTCTACATCAAGATTTGTATGCCATCCGCGAAAACGGGGATCGAGCCAATTATAACAGTCAGTCGGCGCTACGTCGTGCAGAAACCGAGCGAGACAGGGTTCTTGTTGACTTGTCTCGTGTCACCGCGGAGCGGGATGGCTTGGTGACAAAGTATAAGGTTAGTGAACCCGCTGTCGCATGCTGCATGCAAAAACTCTCACGTGCACTCACACTGCAATTGCTTCTCTGCACCCTGCTCAACTCATTGCACTGCTTATTTCCGTGTACCACACTTTAAGTCTATAGTCCGACATGAGAGTTACTCACTTTTATCGAAAATTGGGGAAATAAAATGCTACAATGTTTGGGGGTGGTATGTCATTCGACCTACTGCTCCTACACATAACACGTTCCGGTTTTAGAACACCAGTGAGAACGCAGTGGCCGATAAACAGCGGCTCACCAAGCAGATGGATCAATTGGAGAAAAATTTGGAACAAATTTGCACCGAGCGAGATGAGCTGACCAGACGTTTAGGTGAATTGCGGCAGCATCTGAAGGAGCAACACGACCGTCAAAAGCAGTTGGAAGGCGGTATGATAGAACGACAGGAATTGTACAAAGTGAGTTGTACTCACATGTTGAATGCTGTTAACTTGACCTTGCCCGACTGCTGCTGCTGTTACTGAAAGTGGTGGTTTGACTGTGCCGGCAAGTTTTGGTCAGTCGGGTGTTGCTGCGTATGGGCCTGGGTTGAGGCAAGCATTGTATTAGCAAACCGACTAGTCAAGCGCGAGATATAAGCAACAAATACTGAGGATTTTGCAGCGAATTTACAAAATTTGGAATTATAGCGATGAAAACAGAAGTCGGTACATCTACCCATAATCACAGGTTAGATAATCTGGTAAACACTCCTCTATTAACGGAATTGTGTGCAGTTTACTCATAGGTGTACAGTGAGTTCGGAATTACAAAATGACAACGAATATAAGGCTAATAGATCGGTTACAATTCCCTGCCTGAACAGCTTCAAACAGACGGCTGATGCTCAAACGTTAACGGCAACACATGCTGATACTTGTAAACCTGCGAAACATAGCATGTATCCTTAGCAAACCCGGCGGGAAACTTGCTAGTTTGCTTGAACCATTTATACCAATCATACTTACTCCCAAAGGACTGACGGAGTAAATGAGTTTTCTGCTTTTAGCCTGATAAACTTTCGTCGTTATGACTAAGCAATTTTTTAAACAAATTCACTAGGTCATAAAACTTTTCTATTTTACCAATTAAGTTCCCTAGAATAATTAGGGACCGCCTCTGGTAATGTAAGTGTGTAATGTCACAATAAGTTAACTGTAATAAAATAGAAAATGGCCCTGCGCCACTCAGATCCGTCTAGTACTTGTACTGAAATCGTATAACACTATTGGAATTGGTGTTCCGATTAGCCGGACAGAGACCTAAGATTGACCATTCTCTAGACAGTAATAGATCCCACCTAGTAAAAGGTGTGTGGACTGGGGCTGCTACGAATCAATAACAATCGTCTAGGGTATTTCTGGATAAAATGATAGTGTCTAGCCACACTAGTGTCGCTCAAGTTTACTCACATTCAGCTACTGATACGCAGTGGGTTCTGTTTGAGAAGTCAATTTGAACAAACCTTCCAATTTTTCAACATTTCTGATGAGATTGCAGACTTGGTGTAACTAATAAGTTAGAAGTCTAATTCGTTGGTGTCGCGTTATGAGAACAGACAATGCGTGGACGGAAATGGTCATATTCGCTGGTTCAACGGCTCAGACTTTCACCTGCTGTCTCTCAATTGCTATCATAGATAATGTTTATTCTGCAACCTATTCGTCATCGATTCATGTCACAAAGAATCGTCGAAAATAAATTTATGATAACAGCATCTTCTGAGAGTTCGGTAGTCGTCTTGTATAGTTAGACACGGCATTAAATACTACATATTAAACGACGGATTAAGTTGAGGTTGCTCAGTTTACTCGACTTTTGAGCCTTGCGGATGACCACATCTCAAGCAAGCAGTTGCAAACTAACGTTCGATATATCACAAAACAAATTGCCGGCAGACCATACCATGAGCAAGGTAAATTGTTGAGAGCTTATAAATAGCGCTACACTCGCACCTGCAGGCTTAGTATTTATTGCCTAAGTAAAGGCACATGTTAGAACAATGACCTATAACGGTTGGAAAGGTCAATGTTGTCTGATGGTCAGGGTGAGAATGTGGAATTCAAAGTAGTGTAAAGAGTCATAACGTTCTCGTGATGATTGATTCAGAATGATGAGAAGATTAGAATGGGTGCATCTCTTGCTTAGTTTAGGTCAATTTTTGTTGAAACCAAGTTGCACTACTAACTAACGATTCGTGTTAAGAAGGTATTTCATGAATGAAGTGAGATACGCAAACTCAATGTGGGCCGTATTTTAAAATGAGGTGAATTCAGATCAGTTCATTTACTGGGTCCGTGGTTCAAACATACATCTGTCACAATCATTTCCCCTAATGGTCTAAATTGCATGTAGAGAAAGGAACGAGGTTAAATCGAATTACGTTGCACGTATTGTAAGGAATGTTTGCTACTCCAGGCCAAAAAGCTGGAATATACGCACGGTCTAGACAGAATACGGACGCAAAAGAAGAAGTACTAATATGATCATATAAATGTAGTTCGAGAAGACACAAGATAGGAAAACCGAATGACTTTCAACTACGGGCGGCAAGCGATAACAGTAATAGTAAAGTTAGCACCATAATGATGAAAGCGTGAAATTGGCAAAACCACATCCAAATGAAAGATGTGTACAACCTTTCTGGGAAAGATCTACCGATTTTCACTGACGCACCAAAACTTACTTCACATTACACGCCCCGTGAAATTCTGACGGCCGTCCGGATGTCCAATCGGATCTCACACGAAGCACCGACGCATACAATCACAGGCGTGTGTCCACCACAAATTCCACGTTGCGGCATATTTCTCCGCGATGGGGCGCAGACTATACACATGTGAGCGGTCGATACATCCAAGTCTGTGTTTGAAATCACATGTTTCCTGGAAAACTGGATGTCTGTGGGCTCAGTACTGACCGATGTTTAGCCGTAGCACTGAATTAGCCGTTACGTACAGGGTCTACTTTGGTAAAAATTGAACAACCCGTTGTCGGACGAATGTACACGTGATGCACAACTGCCGCACACCTTAGCAAGAAATTTTCGACGTGCGCGTATTTGTATCAAAGGTAATGTTAAGACAGTTGTGGTGAGCACGTCAGTAGACTGAAAACAAGCTTCCAAGGAACCACTGTAGGACAAAAGACAACTTTCAACTAGGCCTTTCACTTTAAGAATAATGACGACTTGATAGAGGTGTTTTTCCCACTTTTAGCATTTCCATTTCCTGTTAAGTGAGCCAAATTCTATTTGGAAATTCACTTTCCTAAATAACCTATGATACTTAAAATTTACCCGGTTACTTCAGTTCAGTGCAGTTGATAAACCATGATCCGGGCACCAAATCGCCGTGGATACAGTTGCCACGACTCGCGTCGCCAGATTGTCAATAACGAACAATGATAAGTAATTGCGGTTAGACTTGAATATGGTATTAGCAGTATGGAAGCAGGAACGAGGTGCATGAAGGTGATCGCATTGTAGTATGAACAGTTAAGCGCAAGAGAACGAATTAAGAGGCAGCAATGACCCCGACAACGCACCATGTCCGAGAGACTCTCTAAGTATTGGTTTGGACTAGCACGAGACCCCTGCCTGACCAAGTCTCTCGGTCAGTTTCTTCATGCCGCTGTGCCCATCCTCGATTGAACATCTCGTGGTTTCACCCAACTTGGTGCAGCGTCGGCGTATAATGATCGCCGTGGAAGACAGTTAACTGGTGTACAAGACCTAACCAACGTAGGCGATTCAACTTCAACATACACTAAAGTGAGGCAGCATAGGGTATTTTGCCAAAAAGCAACTGGCGGACCTCAACAATTCTCAGCCAGTGTTCCGACCAGATCGAGGCAAGTTACGGTGCGTCAATGAAAATCGGTAGACATTTCTCAGACGCGCTGTACACACACTTCATTTGAATGCTGGATATCGAAGCTCATTTGAGCATGTTTTATCTTTAAGCACGAAGAGAAGATTGTTAGTACGGATGATGGGAAAATATGGAAGTAATTTACTAAGCCATCTAGTGGGAATAATCCGTCTGGTGGTCGAAATCAAATTGCTTTAGAACCTTATGGTGCAGATTATCGATCGGAGTCAAATTAGTAATCTTCGTATGTGCACCAATAGCAACAAGTTGCTTTAGAGTACCGTTCCATCGATCCGGATTATCTCTAAACACTGCGTTTATAGGGACACCGGTAGAACCAGTAACGTGGTATCTACGTTCCGATTGGAACGGTGTTTTATGCAAAGCTAAAGAATAAAGAGGTATGATAATAAGTGAATGAAATATTTCGCGCTAACCTCCTGTGCTGAAATTGACTAGCGAACGCTCCTAATTTGGTGCCTAATCTCAGATTGACTTCCATTCCAATTTCGGGGGTTCTGCGCTTTTGGCTAGAATTGCTTACGTTTACATTCGATCGACTAAGCTCGAATTTGTTCTCTCTTTCAGCAAATACACTTGCGCATGAAGTAGTTTCATTCCTATCCTCATATTTACCAGTTCTGATTGCTAATCTGAAGCACGTGACCTACAGCAGCTGCGCCGACCTGGGGTGCAAATGGTACTACTGTCTTGCATATCTCAATTCACTTGTCTGCATATGTGTGACCAACTATACGTCTAATCTACAGACAGGCTTATGGATAGCTGACAACCGTCAAGAGGCGTTATCCACGCGAAGCCTGAAGACAAAGCGATGCAGCTCATTTAAGCTGTGTACGTCAGTCATGATATGTTATCCTTTGGTGGGGCCTACCGTATCCTCTGTACGATAGATTCTTGCAAGCCAAAGGAGACTGCGACGCGTTATATCACAGCTCCCTACTTGCTCACGTTAGTCGTCACCGTCTCTATGACTCCAGGATCTTAACCACAAACTCTAAATATAGCGGATCTTACCACTGTGGTAAGATGTATTGGATTACTACATAACCGTCCAGTATTCGTGTTTGCTTTGCCTGCTCTGGGAATCAGTTACTACATGCGGCTAGTTGGGCATTTAATTTGTAGGGCAACTCAACCTGCTTGGTCTCTATGACCGTTTATGAAAGAGCTGGATGTCAATCGTTCCTGCTGGCTGTGTTACATTCGCGAGCGGCTTCACACTTGATTAAACTGGTGGAATACAGATGGTAAAACTGTGAGCTAGTATTGCAAGTCGGTAGTTCCCACCATCTATCTGATATTAGCATTGTGGCACATTCACTTGACTAATGTCACCACACCACGGGTATGTGGCGCTTCGAGCTGTTCGGAGCAGATTCCTTTAACTTAATAGATTCGGTTAACAGCGTTATGTATATGATTTTGACCAATACTGGGTGCTACTTGCTTTAAACCGTGAATATTATTGCCGGTTTCATCCTCTTTTTGGCTCTCTAAAAGCCAGTGCCCTGAGGGGGATTTGTACCCGTAGTGTTGAACTTACCAGCGTATACGCGTTTAACAGCGCATCACAGTGTAGCGTGCAATGCCGTCCTGAGAGGTGATCTCGAGTCTCAGTCCAACTAAGGTCCCATAGTGCCAAGTATGAACCTGAGTTTGAGTTGCAGTGTTACGAGTGGATAATGCCTCATAAAAATTATTGTAGGATATGGACTTGTCAGCACAGTATAAAGTGGATTTAATTACCTACGAATTGTGGACAAAGATATCACAATTCCAAACAATATATTTTGTTTACCAGTCTGTAAGTGCATATGCTAAGTATCGGATAGGATCGATCAGTTTTTAGTTAGAAATCTGAAGGCGTTCACAGTAACCACGAATGACAAATGATTAAGGTTATGAGTGGGTCTAATACATTGGATCAAATTAATCCAGAATAACAGTGGGCAGTGCAGAATAAATAGATCGTACAAAGAGTTTGAAACCAGGACTTAAAGATTCCACCATGTTTAACCGGTTACACGTTAAGAAAAATAAATAAAATCGAACATATTTCTTTCTTTTGGCCCTTGCCCTTCTCCCAGAATAGAACAAATGCAAAGACCATACAGAGTGTTAGAATATCCTAAGCACTCTTTCAGTGTGATCTATGTGCTTAGTTTTGATCCCACTCAGTGAACATTCTTCAGCTATTTACGACAGATATCTTTGCTTGTTTCTTATACTAAGTATAAGCTTCAATTTCTTAGCAAAGTTTATGTGGTCAGCTCCATCCACTGCAGTTTTAACCCACTTATCGATCAGATCTTGTTCCGCTTAGAAAGCTGATTGTTTTACTTACCCATCCTGTAACTATATCGTTCTAAACTTAAAAGCGTTGCTCACGTGCGCACGCTTTCAGGCTTTGTGGGGCATTCAAATAGCCATGCTACTGAGCCGGCACGATAGCCCCAGAGACACTTGTCAGTATGCATTAAATTAATATAATCCACTCCTGACTGTGTCAAGTCGCGGCGTGCATACTGCATGTCTCTTCTGAAATTCGGATAATACGAAGCAGTCACGTGACGTGGTTTTGTCAGCTTGTTGACTCATTCATAAACTTTACGTAACCATCAGTGTCGGAGCGGGATAGGTAATATAGCAAATGCTGTATTTTTAGCACTGTTCATACCGATCCAATGTCACTTTTCACATTCGTCCACTTTAGCAAGAAAAAGCAACGAACGATAAATTGCAGGATCGGTTGGATGCGGTTATTTGCGAAAAGGAGACGGCCGAACGCAAGGGACAGTGGTATGAGCATCAGTTCAAGGAAGCACAAAGTTCACTCTCTCAAACTGAACAACAATTGTCCAAAGAGAGAGAACGAAACAACTGGCTGTCGGAGATGCACGAAAAATTGACGGAGGACACGAAAACGCTGAGAGTGTGTGACCTTGGTAAAAATTACCCACTGTTGAATTTTCGATGTGATGGAAATTGACCGCATGTTGTCAGTCTTGTCAAGTTACTGATCACTAGCTAGTGATAGATCTAACTGACACTTCGTGAAATTTCTGACAGAGTCTTTTAAGCTTATCCTTTGGGTTGATGGTATTTTGCCTGATATGCTACGAAAGAAGCTTCGTTATTGGGAACTGGAAAACCTATCAATGAATTTTCCGGCGATGTGACACTCTCTGTACCTCAAATTCAATGGTGTAACGGTAAAGCGTGGACCAGCCCACTTTGAACTCTGGATCCGCGTTCCAAATACGGAGAACCGCGCCGGCGTTGTCACAATGGAATGTTAAATATTTATGTAATAATCAGTTAGCACCGACCTTTCCATCGTTAACTGTTTTCTTGTAGGAGCGGTTTTCCAAAGGTTGCAGGACTCGTCAATCCCGATAATCCAAGTAGGAAATCATCACATTCGAACTCAGCCAGACAGCGGTCACTGTAAGGGCGCTCTAATATTTCACAAAACGGCTACCTCGCACATTCCACCTGACCCTTATGCTGCTCAAACCCTCAGCTGGGCTTTTCCCAGACTGGGGTTGTAACCAATGAGTAATGAGAGCGGTGATAACCGCCGTGACTGAGTAATCAGACGTGATATAGTGCTTCTCATTCTCCCCTGAGTTTCATGTTACTACCTTGCAGTGGGCATGTAGACCACTAAACAAGCGACGAACTTCCAAACTTATAGCTTTATAAGCAGTTTGGTCTACCTACCTATTATACAACATCAGTACATTAGTCAAGTCGGTCGTAACCCTTCCCCGTTTTAACCACAGATTAATAAGGGTCGATTTGCGGATTCTAGCCCTGTGGGACTCAATGAACAACGAACAATGATTTATCACGGGATAAAAGCAAGTGCTTGACACGTCTCATATGATGGTTGGGGTGAATATGATGAAATCGAAATCTATCTGAGGCATCTACCGAACGTCTGCCTAGATGAATAGTTCGATAAATTACATCAGTGTAAAATTTAAAAAAATAGAGCTTAAACGTTCAGAGAGACACTGGGTGAAGTGATCGTTGATGTAAGGCCTGAGGAAAGTAAAATATGATCACTCACTTGGGTCCATTTGATACATAATTCCTGTTGAAAAGCATGCTTGGCGTAATCCACAATAGAGGAATTTAGGTAACAAAGTGCTAGAAGCTAAAAGCAACATAAAATCGTTTTGTGAAAACTTCCAAGGTACAGGAGGATACAACTGAGACTGGGAGTGCGTTCCAGGCATAGCAAACCCGAAGGGAAAAGTAATTCCTTCAACACTCTAGACAGCTATATTTTTCCTTCAACTTTAAGCAGTTACCCCTGAGCTGCGTGTTGTGGCTAGACTTCAGCAAATGGCCGGATACGTGGTTGGGGTCACTCAGTATCTGATAAGCTAATATTATATCACCGCGCAACCTTCGAAAGCATCCGCTGAAAATTCCCAGCAACTTCAGTCTTCGGTGATAAGAGTGATAGCGCAGACCTTTTACATTCTTTGTTGCTCTTCGTTGTGGTGCCTCTATCGCTTCTAGATCGTGCTTCAACCAAGGTCGCCATGCTTGAATGGCGTACTCAACATGCGGGCGCATGTAGGAATTGTGCATCATTGGGAAGATTGTTGGGTCAAATCTCCCAAATGCCCTACACAACATGCCGACTTGCTGGCTGCCTCTTTTCGCAGCTACTTCAGCCAGTTTTGAACAGTTGAGGTCGCTCTGTACGATCACACCAAGGTTACGTTCCTGGGAGCTGGTCTGAAATTTGTTTGTCGCAAACAAATAGGTGTAGTTATGTCTATGGTGTAATTGTACAATGCGACATTTGTCTACGTTTAATTTGTAGGGCGTTTTGAACTGACCAATTCGACACTGTGTTAAGATCGCACTGGAGCCGTCCGTGGTCGTCAGGTCCTCTGATCCATCGCCATATCTTGATATCATCAGCGAAAAATAGGAAGTCGGAAGTAATTGATCTCGCCAAATCGTTAATGAACAACAAGAATAGACGAGGTCCAAGAACCGAGCCTTGTGGTCCTCCACACGCCACATCAATTGCGTCAGAAAATGACTCTCGAACTCTCACCACTAGCCGTCGTTCGTGTAGAAAATTGCCAATCCAACTCAGGATTGGGTCGCCAATGCCGTAGTTCCGGAGCTTCTGAAGGAGAATGTGATGGTCTAAGCAATCAAATGCTTTTGGAAGTTCAGGTAGATGACATCGACTCCTACTCCACCATCAATAGCTTCAGTCCAGCAATTACGTGCAATTAATAGGTTAGTATTACACGGATGTTTTTGAGGAAAGTCATGTTGCTCTGGAACTATTAGGTTGTGGCTTTCTAGATACTGCATCAACGCATCTGCGATGATTGATTCCATCACTTTGAATAGTACGGGAAGTAGTGTTATTGGACGGTAGTTGGCAGGATCAATGCGGTTCCGTCCTTTATGGATAAAAGTAATGACCCCTCGCTTCAATAATGGTGGAATATAGTTCTCTTCTAGACATCGCCAGTGGTTCTGCTAGATCACTAGCTACCGCCAGCAGAGCCTTTGGTCGGATGAAATACGCACTACTGATGGCAGTACAGTACTTCCTCGGTAGTGATACGAATGTCTCACTGAGTCTGGATGTGATACATTTATCTTTATGGCCTAAAAATAATACTTTTAATCTCTTATAATGCTGATATTTTTTATATAGAGATGCAGTGGCTGATTTCAATTTAAGTTAAATCAAGCCTAATCCAACTGTATCAATAAGTTGAAGCAAGAACGATCAATTAATATTATTGTCTTTAAAAGCCTTGATTTCACCATTATCACCCAGATTATAACTGGTACTCGAAAGGCTAGGTAAATAGCCGTCCACTATTTCAAGCATTTAATTAATCACAGACCGACCAACTGACGTTTGACTAGTGGCCTAAACATTAGGCCGTTTAGTGATTAGCTAAACAATGGAAACCCGATTGACTACCTCGCCTTACGGATAATAATTAGCGGGCTGTTAAAGTTCTTGCTTACAATGTGCCATTCTCCAGGTTGATTCCTTTGTTTTTTGTTATACTAAATAGTAGTCAGGTATAATCGATTTCATGTCGCAGACCCGAATGTTACATCAGGTACGACTTTCACGCGCCAACGAATATGGTGGAACTAAAGAAGACAGTTTAGTTCAATTTCCATGAATTTTGCTAGCATGGTTAGCGGTATCCGGTTTCGGATTTGCCTGTCACTGTGGCAAGCCACAGGACGCCTGCGCTTACAGAGGGACCATGGGTGGCTTGCACTGCATTAGCCACAGGTCCATCCACACACCGCATATCTAGTGAAAACCCGAAGGAATAAGACCGGGTGACATGTGGATGGGAGCCACGTTTCATCAAAGAAGCCGGTCCACACTGCTTCACCGGAAAACACAAGCATGCTGTATTTGGGAATCAAGCGCACACAAGGCGGTGGCTGGACTGTAGTCCGCTCCACACTGAGTGCTTGGAACCACTCTTTGATCATAACACGACCACAAGGACCGTGCACCCCGTCCCCTCCAGCAACGAGTAAATGTCTCCTGGGGCCGGTAAAGAAAGAGATACTGGGTAATAGAGAGGTTGGCACATTTTAACATGCACATCAAACGCAGTCACACCGGTGAGGTCAAACAACAGTTGATCACTTGAAATGAGATTGTTAAATAAAATATATCTGTTAAATCATGAGGCTATGCCGACATAACTCTTCACTAAAATACCACATGAGGTAAATTGGTTAGCTAAGAATACGCGATAGTACAAAATATACACAAGTTATTCAGAAAAATGCCACAAACTCGATAAAGTTAACGAAGATAACCATCATTAGCGTAAGCAACTAGTACAAGTTATTTGAAGATTATTCAGGTAGACAGAACAAACCAAATAAGGTGGAAAGAATTGTATCCAACTGCTAAAGACTTAGTTTAGTCTTGCCAACTTATTCGCCTGAATATATATCATATAGGTGCCCTCTTGTTAATCGACCTTTGGGAGTCTGTGGCTAGAACAAACTACACCTTTTTCGGTTGGAACATGCCAGTGTCCCCTCACTTATACTTGCAGGTCTTCAGATTTTCCATTACTTACTCCCTCTTGTTTTCGGTAGAAATGATACCTGTGTCACTACTATAAATTACAGTATTGTTTTTAATCCGACGTTTCCCATGTTTAGTGGAATAATTCAGTGGCTTATATTCAGTAATAAGAACATCTAACTGAAACGTCGGCAAGTGTGGAAGTGACAATGTCAATAAGGTGTGCGAACAACCTGAACACAAGCTGCCTAACACTGTAGCTGCGAATAGCCCCAAGAAGTCTGCTTGCACATGGGAGCTCTAGTAGATTTACCCATGACATCCGGGTTTTCGATATGCCTGAAGAAATAGAACACGGAGACCGTCATTTGGGTACCGCACTCATTCCGAACTCGGATTGCAATCGTTCAGAAATTAACTGGGTAGTCGGCTTGACAAGGTTTCAAGTCAGTACAGTGAGGACACGGTGTGACACGGACGTATATACAAAACGATTAGATTTTGAGTATTCCATTGTTCTGGAATTAAAGTATACCAGGGAATAACATGCTACAACATGGAGAAGATGCGTACCAGAAGTACACGTAGCGGTGGCTGGGACGTAACATCTTCCTTGATAGAGCCACTCTGATTCTACCTCCGTTACTACGGCTGTCTACCTTAGGTACCGAAAATAATTGTTACTCAATGAAACTCTGCATTCAAAGTGTCACCAGAGGAACTGGCGGTCATTCAGTTAGCATAAGCACCTGGTGATTCATGTTAAGAAATAACTGAAGACGTAACAGAAATAATAAATAATAATTAATGTAAAATGTAAACGCCTGGCTTTACACTTTATTCATGTTTCGATAATGCGCATTAGTACAGCGTTGATGATCGTTCTACAAAGGGGGTGTACTAAAGTTTTGCGTTAACGTACGTATCAAGTGGATCACTGGATCGATACATTATTTCTTTAAGTCTTCCGAATCACGAAAATTCTGCGGGTTTAAAGGAAGAGCTGACCGCTAACATGATTCAACAGAACGTACGTTTATCGAGTGGTTCTACTTATTGACCACATCTAACTCGTATTGCGTGTGTAATAACAGCGGGCAATGCTTATCGCACTCTTGTAAAGCGTTAGACGAATAGCTTGGTAAGTAGTTCGTTTAAATATTACTGATCATTGAGGATTTTGCAATAATTCTGCCAATTCATCATCGTCATTCCCAATCAGTAGGCTTAGACCAGTCTGGAAAGGCACCAGACTCCAGCTTCTCGACCTTCTGGGTCTCGTCAGTGGTACGCCTCTAAGCCCCCATGACTTCTGAATGTCAGCAGCTAGTGCCACTTCGCCATGGGTGACATCCGCGGACCCGCGTGATTGACAGTGGACTGACTTTGGTTTTCCAGGCTAGTCTAAGCGTGCTGATTGAGTGGCAATGCTGAATTTGCTGAATTATACCAAAATCCTCTCTACTCATCAGTAATGTAAAAAATATATCTGTCCTTATAGCTTTCAAGTCCTTGTGCCGTTCCGGAGCGCTATGCGGAAAATCCTGGCTCGTGAGGCCAGCCGCGGTCCTCTACACTGTTCGTACCTTGCATGACAGTGGAAGATGAGCCAGGCTATATCATAGGCAACTGTCATGCATGTAGGTCCGCGGCTGTCACCCATGGCGAAGTGGCACTAACTGCTGGCATCCAGAAAGACAGGAGACAGCTGGGAGACGCACCACTGACGAGACCCAGAAGCTAGAAACGCCGACGTCTGGTGCGTTGCCAGACTAGCCTAAGCCTACTTATTGAGAGTGGCAATGCTGAATTAGCTGAAGTTCGTTTAACATATGCAACTACACTCTTGAATTACAAAGGCTATGCAAATGGTATTCCAAGGAGTTACCAAAGATGGTTTCCTGACTCCAGCTCCACACAACATTATGTGCTCCAGCATGTTTTTAAACAGTCGCATGGAAAATTAAAACGGCATCCTAGAAGGGGAATTCGCAACGTTAACCTTTAACGACACCCACTGCTTATACACACCGTTTTGAGGCACGCAGCTCAAATTCACTTATACCAATGTGTGTACAGGCCGATCTCGAGGTGGTCAAGAAAGACAAAGCACATCTGGAGTTGTGTATGGAAGACCTGACGGTGAATCATCGACAGGCAGTTCGAGAACGCGATGAACTCGTGCAATGCTCCGCGTCTATGCGTGAACACATACGAAATTTGGAGTCCAATTTAAAGGAGGCCGAAAGCGAACAGAAACGTATCAATGAGACGGTTAAAGTGAGTTACCTTGTAGTACTGGCTTCCTATCTCTTCGATTCAAGTGGGCTTAGCATTACCATTCTGTACCATATTGATGGATCTCTCTAGCATATCATCGAGCTAGTTATTTGAAAAGAAACTCCAATTGCAGTGTAACCATTCCTTCCGTTTTTCAGCTTAGTCGGTAACTGTCAGGCACCAGCCATAGCTGGCATACAACCCATGGTGGAAAAAGACGAGAATAATCACTTTGAAAGCCAATATGCTTTCAACATCCCTTGTCCACCGCTGCATATATATGGCCCCAAGATGACGAACATTTCTGATATGCCGGAGCCAATTCTAACTCTTAATACGGCCACAATACAGCATGACGCATTCGGTTCTGGTCAGGTTAGATCAAATTCCAACGACGATAGAGGAATTGGCATAGCGGGCATCCAAATTCTTGTATTAGCAAGCGAACGAAGGCCCCCGGTACCTCAATCGGCTTGCGTTACTTTGCGAAATAGCTAGTGCGCTTAGTGCCGAACAGTGGGTAAAGAAGGCTGTAGGCGAATCCCATACGCAAATTCGCTTCGCTGATTTCAAATCTAAATATTTTTCTACAAAGGGATTCCGAAAGGCAGGATGACGGTCTGGAGTGCAACCTAAACTTTTTCAACTTCGCAAGTAAGAAACGATGACGGACTGTGTCAAAAGCGTTACCATGCTTGAAAGAACGTCTCGGCCGAAATCTCACTAGCAAGATATTATATAATCTCATGAAAATACGGCAGATTATTGAGATGTGACCTTTCCTTATTGAAACCATGATGTTCCGACTTAGATGGGATGTAAGCAACCAAATGCTCACAAATCCGCTTTCTTGCAATTTAATATGAATCAATATCAGAAAGCAGTTCAGGGTGAAAACTTATTTCGGTAAACTCTCATCGGACCCAAACGTTCACAAAACACTGATAGTGTGGGGTAAGCGTCAACTCGGACTGGGATTTACTTCTGGACTGTTTGAATGATCAAAATCGATAACCTAAGACAGAGATAGCGATGGTAAGCCAAGTAAACTAAATACACATGCATACGCAATGCTCAGTAGTCCAAAGCAATTATGTAGGTAAAATAACAGCTAAATAACTAAGTAACAGTGTCCGTTGGCCAAGGTAGTAGTATCGGCAGTATGAATCGTTTTTGTATAAATAATTCCGGCTTCAGATGGTGAACGTAGGTAGCCTCGGCGATGGATAAGAGCTGTTTGCGGAATCCTTGGGTGTAGTGTTCAGGTAGTGAATAAATGACTTTGAAGTCATTCTCTAAAGCTGTGTGGCCATATTCAAGGAGGTGCGACATGATTGAGCTGTCTGAAGACCTCATTTCGCCTCTGTAAAACCATGCCGGGATGTGTTCACGAATCCTCTGAGGTTGGAATCTTGTCGTGCGACCCAAGTATCGTGTAAAACAGGAGCGCAACTACTGATAAACGATCATTCAACGGGTCAACGACGGTAGTCTATCCTTCAAGGGTTTCGTAAGCAACGGCTTATTGTGAAAACGATTCTCAGGCGGGCCGCGAAATAAGTTTTCTCGACAGCGTTTTCAGGCGTCTGGATATCATATCAGCTGCAGAATCACCCTTAAAGTGTATATGTATGAAAAGCTCTTTCTTGGGAGCAATGCTCCTAGGTGGCTTTCGATTGTGTTTCTTCAAATGTTTCATGATAAATTTATCAGGATAGCCATTTTCCCTGAGGGCGTCGCTGATTCTCTGTAGTTCTTCGTTGACGGTATCCGGTGTACAAATACTGCGCACCCGGAAGGCGAGAGATCTGATTAAACTCCGCTTATGCTGTAGTGGTACTGTGCTGTGAAAGTTAGTGTACTGCCCAGTGTATGTGTGCTTCCTGTGTACCTTTCTGCTGCATGATCCATCCGAGTTACGGGTAACCTTTACATCCAAGAAAGGTAACCGGTTTCTGAGTTCGTGTTCACAAGTGAAATGGAGATTCTCGTGTGCGTCATTGAAAGCTTTCAGCAACTGTTCCGCATGCTTTTCGGATTTGCAAAGTACGAAGATGTCGTCAACATACCGTAAGTGCATTTCGGTTTCGCGGATGTGCGTTGCAATTGGGCCATGTTCCGATTTCGCCATGAAAATATCAGCCAGCAGCGGCCCCAAAGGAGATCACATGGCCACTCCGTCAAACTGACGATACATTTCACCATTGAAGGTGAACTGAACATTTAACGTGCAACGAAGTAGCACCTCCTTTAGCAAAGTCTCCGGAAAAGTTGCGTATATGGGTAGTTCCCGAGCAAGCTCGCATACGTAATCCACGGTTTCGAGATATGGAATGTTTGTGAACAACGACTGAGCATCGAATGATATCATCCTTTTGTGAACAAGGTTGCTTTCGGATATCCTCTTAATGAATTCGAAGGTGTCTCTCACGCAGTAAGTACAAACCAAATTCCGTAACGGCTACAGCTTCGTCACCATCCACTGGGCCAACAAATGCTGAGGAGAACCTATCATGTCCAAGATTGGGCGCATTGGGGCGCCTTCCTTGTGAACTTTAAGTAGGCCATATAATCTCGGTAGGTGTCTACCTGAAGGCTTCAGCTTTTCGAATTCCTTCTTCGTGATGAGTTTGGTTTGCATCATTCGCCTGAGGCAGCCGGTTAGCTGTTTCTCTAACTCTCCTGTGTTGTCTTTTCCTGTCATGAGCCTCTGAAACTTACTCTCATCACTGAGAACGTGCTGCATTTTATGGATATAATCCACCCTATCCATTAGCACTATGCCGGAGCCTTTGCCTGGCTTGGAGATTATTAATTCGTTGTTTAACCGTAGCTCTTTAAGTGACTGAATTTGTTCCCTAGTGATAATACTATTACTAGATGGTTTGGTCCTAAGGTATTCGTGACAATACGCTTAATAGCCATGCCCCCAGTTGACATTTCCGAATAAACTGCAGAGATATGTGTTTAACCTTTCAAGTGTGATACTAACTCAGACGCAGCTGAACGTGTTGTCATTAGGTCCAAAGTTTTGCATACCATATAAGAAAATAGATCAGGCGGCTTTAGAGGTGCAGTTTGAAAGCCAAATTGCTCAGACTAAAGACCTGCTTCCAACGTCATCAAATGATGTTGAGAATCTAAAATCCTGTCTAGTTCATAGTTGTCACGAATACCTTAGGACCAAACCATCTAGTAATAGTATTATCACTAGGGAACAAATTCAGTCACTTAAAGAGCTACGGTTAAACAACGAATTAATAATCTCCAAGCCAGTCAAAGGCTCCGGCATAGTACTAATGGATAGGGTGGATTATATCCAAAAAATGCAGCACGTTCTCAGTGAAGAGAGTAAGTTTCAGAGGCTCATGACAGGAAAAGACAACACAGGAGAGTTAGAGAAACAGCTAACCGGCTGCCTCAAGCGAATGATGCAAGCCAAGCTTATCAAGAAGAACGAATTCGAAAAGCTGAAGCCTTCAGGTGGACACTTACCGAGAATATATGGCCTGCCTAAAATTCACAAGGAAGGTGCGCCGTTTTTCCCTCTAAAAGTGCTTTGAATAGCGGTTTGCCTGCACGCATTATTTGAGGAATTCTAATTCGACTCTGGATTCTTCCACGTGAGTATTTAACTTCAGATACTCATTCAAGAGTTTCAATGAATCACGGGCAATGCTGGTCTGCAGTAATTCAAATATTCCCATTCCATTAATATGAATCAATATCAGCAATCAGTTCAGGGTGAAGAATTCTTTTCGGTAAACTCTCATCGGACCCAAACGTTCACAAAACACTGATAGTGTGGGGTAAGCGTCAACTCGGACTGGGATTTACTACTGGACGGTTTGAATGATAAAAATCGATAACTTGAGACAGAGATAGCGATGGTATCCAAGCGCCGAACAACTTGTTGATCAAATCGGTAGACTTATATTTAAGTTGCACCGATTTAGAGCCCAGCTTGTTGACAGCAACTCTGGTCGCCCTCTTCCAAACTAGGGATAACTTACCCTTCCGAAGTGACGTATTGCACAAAACTGCGACAGGATACCGGTATATAACTTAGCGGCTTATTGGCTGCCGGATGTGCTTTTTCAGAAGTAGCTGACTTAATGTGGTTCAAGTTAACCGTTACTGCAAAGACATCTGGTGCAGCCAGCACAATGTCCTGCATTTTGTAGTCACATGCGCACTGTGGCTGCCTCCAAGATCATCGTCTGCTGATTGGTCCGGAATCTAGCACACCGTCGTACACGGATCGATTTTTCAGATCCAAAGAACCAATTGAAACTGGTTCACTAGCCTAGATTTGGCGACATAAGTGCTCCCGCTGTTTTCTGGTCCTATCACTGTTCGTAACGGGGCTAAGTTTGCGCTTAAGTAGATGGTTAGACGCTATATAACTGGTGCTTACGGCTTGGGTCTTTAGAGAATCGATAAGACTGCCCGCTGCTAATGAGGCCCCATAGGGTGGAACGTCCATTCTGGTCTTTATTCAATGTATATTTGCTATCTCCCTGTGTCTATCTAGATGTATTTCCTACTAGATGCATCAATTAATCAAATATCTAGAAAAATACTGTGATCAGCGATACACGATGAGGTATGCGAAGCATGTTCTTGTGAGTTAACCGGATATCTGTGACTTCTGGCAGAAACTGGCATAGTGCTCGTTTCATTCTTAAAAGTCTCGAACTAGCCAAAGTGTTTGTGTAACCTTATTTTATGATCAAGGCACATATTCGTCCTCCACAGGAAACGGCTAGACTGAGATTGCGCAGTTATGGTCAAAAAAACAACAGTTCGGTTGTGACCAACCGAGGCATAGGGGTGAACATATTCACTGAGCATTTTTTGAAATATGGAGCTGTTTATTGGTCCAAACGCCCGTCGCAACAGCCAGACGTAATAGTTTCCAGTCTTCGAAAACATATCCGATTGTCTGGAGCGGTCCAGGTCATCTTGAATCAGGGCATCCAAGTCACCTTCGACAGTTG